CTCATCCAGATCATTGATAAAGATGTCAAAAGAGATGTTAAAGATGTTAAAAGAAGCTGACTGGGAACGATCAACATGGATCTACCAAGGATAAATCTTGTCTGACCAGCCTGACTGTGTTCTATGATAAAATGACTGGATTTATGGATGAGGGGAAAGCCGTGGACGTCACTTATCTCAACTTCAGCAAGGCTTTTGACACTGTCTCCAACAACATCCTTGCATCTAATTTAGGACATTACTGTCTGAATGGGCCGACAACCAGATGAATAAAAATTGGTTGGATGTTTGGGCTCAGAGGAGAGTGGTTAATGGGTTGTATTCTACCCAGAGGACAAATAGAAGGGTCTGGGGAGTCCTGGCAGACACCACGCTGCCTGTGTGTCAGGAGAGTGCCCGAAGGTGGCTAACAGCATCCTGGGTTGTGCTAGAGGGAGCACAGCCAGGAGCTCAAGGGAAGGGATTATCCTCCTGCTCAGCACCTGTTAGACCACATCCAGACACTGTGTCCTTTTGAACTCCCCAGTGCAGAAAAGGCATTGAAAAATTGGAGCCAACTTCAGCCAAGGGCCCCCCAAGATTGTTAGAGCCAGAGCCATGTGAGGAGGAGCTAAGGGAACCTGATTTGTTCAGCCTGGAGAAGAGGTGGCTTCAGGTGGACCTCATAGCAGCCTGCCAGGACCTATGAGGGTGTCTTCAAGAAGATGAAGCCAGGCTCTTCACAGTGATGATAGGTGGATGGACAAGAAACAGCAGGCATAAATTGAAACAGGAAAGGTTCAGACTGGAAATAATGAAAAGAAAAACATGGGAAAACCATAATATTGGGATTTTGTAAAATGTCTTAGGTGCCGAGCTGTAACAGACCATAAATCCTGAATAGTCAGACACCATTTCCTGTGCTTCTGGTTTCATCCACTTCATGTGGAAACCAAAGGTTCTTTACCCACCACAGTGAATTTCCATTGGCTAGAAGTGAATCCTGTGATATAACCCAAATTCTTAATTATAACAAGAGTATTTTTCTGCAAAACACAGCTATAATATTTGAGTTAGTGCAGGATCAATCTTGTGTCCACATGGCGTGGTGCAGAGCTATATGGACCTACCTGCCAGGTTTCCTGTATGGGATAGCCTTTTTTATGTGGCTTGGGCTATGAGTTAGGCTTCTTGGCAAAATTTATGAACTGGGACCCAGTGCTGCAGGAGTGGGTTGCACAAGCACCTGATCACACTTAGGCCTGGATGCTTCAACATCTGTGCTGTGCTCCTTTCCTGTCCTTCTCCTGTAGTTAGCAAGGGAACTGCCACACCAGGTGTACTTGTTTCAACTGGTACAGCCTTGCAGAATGTTACATGTATACATAGTGAGTAAAAGGGTTGGTTTTATTTATTTTTTCTATTTAAGAAAGGCTGAAGCTGGTGTGGTAAGAGAGGTGGAGGATGGAGGAGCTGGGCAGTTCCAGCCTTCCTATTGCAGAAACCCAACACAAAGTTCCTCACTCGCTTCCCTCAGCCATGCAGCCAGAGATGGCGACAGTCATTCCTGCCTGTACATGCTCCAAAATTACTTATAACTCACTGTCTCCTAAAAAAGACCAGCGTTTCAATTCATACATGTATTCCCCGATTTTTGTATGTGAAAGGAGAGTGCCTGGTTCAGTCTCAGGTAGAGCTTGATGCTGCAGCAAAGTGCTGCTCCTTTCCCACCTTCTCCCAGCTCTGCGTTTCCTCCTAAAGATCAGGAAATGCCCTGTTCATGATGATTGCAGCATTAAGGACACCTCTGGACTTTGTCAGCCAGGGGTTTCAGTATGGGCAGAGGGTTCCAGAATTTGGACTTTCAGTTTGACAAGCATGTTTTGCTGACTTTTTGGGTCAGAAGTAAAGATGAGGGGTGGAGAGGGTGTCAGTGTGATTGTGCCTACCCACAGGGATGTTACTATGCCACTTCTGCATGACTTCTAAAATGCATTTCTCTTCCTCAGGAAAGTGTGTCTTGAATTAGTCTGTAATTCTTTATTATTACCCATTAATTATTCTAAAACCAAAGTGTTTAGCTTAATGAGTTTATTACTATAGATCCTAAAAATAGTAATTCTGCTTATTTTGGGGGAATATCAGTTCCCAGGAAGGGAACAATTCAGGACGAGTTATGTTGTGCTAAGTGAACCTGTTTGTCCAAATACTCTCAAAGCATAGCAGGGAAGCAATTAAAAGAAATGTGGTCCCACCCCTTCATTCATGGGTCTGAATAGTTCCCTGGAGGGTGTGTAGCAACACAGATAATTTACTGCTGGTAGCAACAAGTGCATTTCTGGAGGAACGAGTAGCAGAGAAACTGGATTACAAGAGTGGTCCTGAGTCACAGAACCTCCTGGGATGCTCCTGTGTTGGTAATTTCTCAGAGATGAGCTTGGAGTCAAACTAACAACCAGGTAAATGGTTTGGAGGATTTTCATGTTGAGGGTGAGTTTGAGGAAGTCTGACTGTTGTTTATTGCCATTGCAGTGCTGAGCACAGTAACATGAAGGAAACTTGGAGCTGTCCCTCTGCATTGCTAGCTGATGGCATGTCCAGCTCTTCGTATACCCAGAGGAAGACTACGTACAACTGGTGCTCAGAGTGACCTTCATAGTACACTTGTGGTATGTAACTGGTGCCTAGCATTCTCCTCTGCCTCTTGATATAATTCCTTCATTTTTAGTGTCAAGTGAGAAGGAAAATCTGTAGACCTTGATTGTGGGGGCTCTGAGGTTTCTCCTGACATCTACTGTGAGGAAAGGTGAAATACAACTAAGAACTTCACTTCTGAAGGCAAAATCATTGCTGTGTCTGAAAAGCTCCTTCAGTATTATCAAAGATAGGAGAAGGTGATCCATTGTGGGGATGCTGACATGGAGACCTGAGTAGCTGGGCTCTGACAGCAAAGCCTTCACACTTGCTGATTGTCATTTGTGGAGTCCCACTGAAGTGCAGGTAGTTGCTCAACCACAGCTGAATCCAGGCTCTTGAGGGCTAAAGCCAGTTCTGTAGCTGCTTCCTGTGTTGCACAGGCATGGGTGATTTTAGCATTAGACATTAAATGATGCTGGCTACTGGATCAGGGACTTAGAATCACTTGTTAAACCAGGAATGCGCGCTGTTACAACTGAAGCTACATGTGCCTGTTTGCAGCCTACAGCAATGGTGTTGCTTCCTTTGCACTGTTCTCTTTGTGCTAGACTTTTCTATATTTTTCACAGATTTTTGGCAACATCAGAGGCTAGAACTGCTCCATCTGTTCTCAGGTTTCCTGTAAGCTGCACTGATTTGCATGCAGAAGTGCCATTGCTAAGTTAATTCCTCAAGCCTCAGGCCAGCCTGATGGGACAATGGAGTTGGGAGCAGAGTCCTCTCCTGCATATTAGGCAGTATAATTGCACAGCCAAATTAAGGAGGGTATAGCAACTTCTAATTAAGTTTGAAGTTGTCCTGGCTTTGCATGGAAGATTCAACAGTTGACCTCCAGAGATACCTTCCAACTTAAATTACTCTATGATTCTAACAAAAGAATGATATTTTCAAGAGAAACTACACATTTCTTATTCCAGCTCTGAATTTACCAATGATATTACTTAGACTTATTTGCAGGTCAAAGATGAGGAAAGGTCACACTCTTTAAATCTGTGGACTTTGTGAAGCACATTGGTGAGTAATATACCAGTGAGTTTCCTGTTTCTGGCATTAGTGAAATCACATTCATCTTTGTGTGCTTTGAATTTGCCCTAAATTACACATAGAAATGAAAGAAAAATTCACAACTGGCTGGATGCCTCATGCAGACCTGTGTTGACTTTATGGTCACTGCCATCCTAACAGCAGTTGCTCTTGCTTAACCCAGTGAGGTGAAGGCTGGGTTAAGCCCTGTCCCTGGCTGGCTGCTCTCCCTGCAGCAGATGAAAGAGGAGGGGTTTCTGTATGTACAGCAGGTGCCAGGCACACTCTGTGGCTCTTTTATTTCCTCTTCTTGAGGAATTCACAGACGAAGAAGATGGTGACTTGGCACTCGGAGTCGTTCCACTCTCCCGTACTGAGCATTTCCACACAATCCTCGCGGCCAGTGGGGTCGTGAGGCTCTCCTTGCTTCCAATTGCTGTAGTTCTGCAGCGGGGTGTTGTCTGCATACACAAACTGTCCTTCTTTTTCCATGTCGTTGAGCCCAATGAAGGCTCGGAAGAGGCCGCTGTCAGAGATGTAGTCAGCAATCAGGGCATTGGTTGCCTCATCTTTAGGCATGGCCAATGTTCCTCCTCTGTCCCTGCAGTGGATCACGGCTTCTCTGTAGTTCTTCTCTTCTTTCACAATGTAATAGAATTTCTCATCTGTCTCCCTGATGCCTGCTATAACTTCAAAGGGGAGAAAAAAAATTGCTTAATGGCATTTCAACAGATATTGAAGATGCTTCTGTTCAGTATGACAATGAGATTATTTTCATATTAGAATTAATAAAATGGAGAAAGGAAAAGTATTCCCAACACTGAATTTGTGATGAACGATGAGGTTGTGATCAGACACTGGTGATACTAAGGGGAGTGACAAGCACCTTGCACAGATTAGGACAAGAACTGTTCAGTCCTGATTGGCATGTGTCTCCTGTGACACTTAAGTTTTACGTCATGGATATCTTGTACTAATCAAATCAAGATATGCTAAATGGTCAAATAGCAATGTCTAACTCTGTATCACCCCTGTTGCTTTGCATGGTTTTGAATATAGATTGTGAAAGAGTGCCCTGGGATAGAAACACAGGGGTATGAATAGCTTTTCAGGCCTTTTCCATGTAGAAGTCAATGTGACTGCTAAAATAAGACATTCTAAATACAACCTGATATTCAGAGTAGCTGTAGCCACTTACTGGCATTGACTAGGAAGGGAACTGTGGCTTCTTAGCAGCTTTAAAAGGCAAACTTCTCAAGCAGCATGTGTCCTAGTGAATTCAGCATTGCCAAGGAGCATGGCAGGGCAGCTGGAAGTTGATAGCCCCTGCTGATGGGTTGCTAGAGTGGTCTTGAGCAGAGCTTTGGCCTGGGACAGATAACACTTTCCCAAACAATTTAGGAGTTACCCCAGGCACAGTTTAGGAGTTAGTCTCACAGTTAGAGAGATACTCCTGATAACATGGCATTCAGTTTTGTAGGATTTAGTAATATAGATGAGGGCTGTTCTGTGTTGGCTGCCCACAGTGCCAGAGAACAGTCTGAAACATGTTTAATTTGCTGATACAGATCTAATCCTAGAAGCAGTGGTGGAGGTTTCTCAAAATCTCTGCTATGCCAGGAAACACGCTTTGTTCCTTTCAGTGAGGACAGTTTGCAGCGTCCACCTGACAGCACTGTCTGCAAATGTGGCTTTTTACAACCCATGTGTGGCTCCCTTGTTACAGGAACATCATGCTTGCACTGAGGGGAGCCCTAGGAGCACCATGTCTGCAGCCTTCCTGTGCAGCAGAAAGATCAGAGGTGCCTATTGCTTTTCCTGCCTCTCTGCAGCAGATTGGCACAAACGTTTTCCTTTCATTGCCTGAGTGACTGCAGGGCCTGAGCAGACTGACAGCCCAAAGGTGGTTTGCAAACTGTGCCTTGTGCTTTTCATGATTCTTTGTGTTGTGGTGTTGATCATTTCTGTATTGTTTTTGCTTTTAGTCATCTGCTGCTTATATTCTTACAGGTGTAAGACTGTCTCTTTTCTGTGTGTTTTTGGTGTGCCTCACAGGGTGGGTCTCTACCATAGAGCAGAAATGGTAGAGAAGCAGCAATGATAAATGCTATAGGAGCCAAACAGATCACATCAAATACATAATGATCCTTACCATTCTTTAGAAACTTGATGGACGTGTTAAGACGAGCAACATTGATATTCAATTGTCCAACAACTCTGCGATATCTTCCACAGTCACAGACGGTGCCTGATACAACACAAAGGACAGAGGATTTATCGGCTTAGAAACATTTGTGTGTGTGTATGTGGAGGGTCATTTGTAGCCCACTTCCAAAACGTCTGAAGACTTGGCCTACACTTGCAAAGAGCCAGTCTCAACCAGCCCTTCTGACCATACTTCTGTTGAATAATGCACTTAATATTTTGGCTCTGCACACTCCCTTCCTAACTGGCTTGAAGATCCTTACTTTTAAAACATGAATGGAAGAGTTTGCCATCTTCTTTCCACCCATGTCAGTGTAGGATTTGCATATCCTCTGCCGATCATCAATTCCATCTGGCTGCGGAGATGTGGCTTTTCATGGTGACCACTACAGCACTACATCTGAATGCCAGAGGTCTTCCTCTGTGTCCATGGACAGCACCGGTTCCCTGGCCTGCTAACAGGAGCAACAGCATCTATGAAATGGGGAACTGCTGCTTTCTCAGTGAAGGAGTTTTGTGAGTATGCAGAGAGGTGGAGACTGGCAAAACGTTGGCAGAACCATGTTAGTGACCTACTGCATGCAGCTGTGATGCAGAGGAAATAGTCAATAGTCAAATAATCAATAGCTTTCAAGCACTGAAGTCTCAGTTATATTTTTGTTGGTAAATGGAAGTTTGGATTGGTGTAATTTTTTTTGTTCCTCAGTTATTCTCAGGAAGCAAATTTGTTGCTGATGGTTTCTCATTGAGACCCAAACTGGCATTTCATATGAAATCTCCTAAAAATGAACACAGCTGTACATTCCAGGTGGGAAAATATTCAATATTATTAGGACTGAGAAGAACATTCTTGGTTATCAGATCCAAATTCTTCTCCTATAAGCAAATGTGTTGCATTCATCTGACAACAGATTATGCTCTGTCTAAAATCACTTATGTTTTTTGTCCCCATGCTCCTGTTCGGAAACTCTCAAAGGACTTAATTTCTTTGGTACTCAGAAACCTTCTTTGAGTTTCTAGTATAAATATACTCTTGGAGTGTTTATATGTTAGTTTTTATGATATTAAACATTGCCCATTAATTTAGGTAACTCTTCGCCATATTTTGTGTACGTTGGTGTATTCAAAGCCATCAGTCATGCCCTACCCAGCCTTCATTTTGTTAAACAAAACTTTTTCAGTCTCTTCCTGTTCATTTCACCTATTCTCAAGTTTGTCCATGAGCCTCAAAATTTTGTGAAACTCCAGACAAAACAACCCTGAAATCAAAGACATTCTGCAGAAAAACATGCATAGCATACCTGCTTTCCCCTTTTTTCCAGACACGCCTGATAAGCCTTTGGCTCCTTTGTCACCTGAATAAAGAGGAAAATACATTCTCAGATCTCAGACAGTGCACATGTCAGGGGAGCGTATTTGAAAAAAACCTGTTTAATAATAAATTAAAGGTGTGCTTCTGATAGGAAGCCCTGATGTGCTATACTGGCAGATGTGCCAAGTCAAACAAACCATGATTAATTCTGGTGTATGGAAATAAGGAGAACCCTTTAATAGCTAACTCAGTGATAACACAGGCATCTCGTGTGCTGCTGGTTCCTGGTACCACTTACTTTAAATATAAACTGCACAATGATCCCGAGAGGCTGAAAGCACTCAAGAAATCTGCAGGAGGTGAGATCTGGGTTTTCTCATTGCCTTGCAGGACAGAGCCCTTAGCTGGGTTCAGTAGCTCCGTGTTGGGATGAGGCACCAGATGAGGCTGATGTGCACTGAGCCACTGATTTCACGCATGCAACAGATTTCAGGTGCAGACATCTGCATGAAATGAGGTCAGCAAGGAGCAGTGCTTCATTTCAGACACATGGAAGTGTGATTTATTTTCATCCAACTGCTTCCCTCTTCTGTAAATCATAAAAATGACAGAAATACTTCTTCAAGTGCTGTGCTACTATATAAGCGGAGGTGACCAGCTTTACAAAAATTCTCAGCTGTAATTTGAATCAAAACCAGCTTGACTTTATCTGAAATTCATGACAGCTCTTCTTTTATGAATTAAAATCTTCAGAGGACAAAAAAATACTAATGCTTGCTCTGCCTTTTTGATGGCCATGATTTGATGTGCTTTTTCCGTAATATGATTGTGGGTTTTTAAAAAATTAGGAGTTGGCTGTCATTTTAATTAGCACTGTTTGGCACTGCACACTTACAAACTGAAATTTCAGCTTTATTAAGAACCTCAACGTTTAATGGTAGACTTGAACAGTGCATTAGTGACCTTTGGTTCTGCAAATAAAGATAGAAAATGAGAAAAACTAGAAGGGGACAATAAATTGTGCATTCAGGTTGAGAAGAATGAGAGAGCTTGATTTAAAGGCTCAGATTTAAAGATTTACTTACAGATAAAGATAAACAATTTGTGGGATTCTTAAATTCTAGTTTCCTTAGGTGCTTGAAGACATCTTAGGAGATAACTATCTGTGTTATCATTTGTCTAGGTACTTCTGAAAATTAGTTCCTCCGGCCAAATTCTTTTGTTCTTCCCCGATACTGAGGCTGGCTGTAGGCCATCAAAGGTTTATTAAAAAACGTTGGCTTGAGAAGCTCCCTGGAGAGGTTTTTCCACTCACTCACCCACATGCTGGGGTTGATGCACTGCTTGGAGGTCACAGGCTTCCCCTGGGGATGCTGGAGTCCCTGCTGAGCTTTCAAGGCAGGTCTCCCTGTGGCAGAAGTGATATTCTTTCTGAAGCAGCTGTTTAAGAATACTGGAAAGGAATGGCTGAGCCTCTTCTCAGGCAACTAGAGTATAATTTAATGAAATTATTGCCCAGGTAGACCCGGAGTCTACCTTGATTTGCAAGGAGTAGTTGTCCCTGGTTAGTGCTGTCTTAAAACTCCCAAAATTCTTTCTTTGCCAAGCTGTCCTGTGCATCACTTGCTCACGTCTTCTGCAGCAGTGCAGGTGATGAAGTGCGGCATCCTGAGCAGCAGCAGAATACTGACTTAGGCCTTCAGCTGACAAATTTAACTTTCTTTTTTAGAGCTCTCGGAGGGTTTACTTCACGAAGGCCAAATTTCACCCTTCCTCTTTTGCCATCAAAGAGGATTCATTTCTTAACTTCTGAGGCAGATTATTATAGCCAAGTACGTCTTGATAGAGTGCACATGGGAAATAAAACATAAATATTTCAGTTAGCTCTCGTCACCAATCTTTATGCGTAACTTACTTGGAGAGCATTGGCCACAGTTTTTATTTGATATTACTCCATTCCTGGAACTCTCACAGAACACATATTTACCTTGAGGGGAAAAAAACAAGAAAATTCCCATGCCAGAGCTTACCCTTTCCACCAATTGGGCCAATTTTCCCAAGCATTCCCTGGTCACCAACATCCCCCACTGGTCCTTTGTTTCCTAAAAAAAGAAATAAAGAGGAAAAGAGTCTGGATGTTTTCTGACATTTTTTTCCCAAGGCACCATTTAGGTCTCTACTGCTGCTATTTTCCCTGAGCATGGCCAGTCTGCATGTGTGTCAAAGTCAAAATGAGTGGGGCCTCGAGGATGGTTGGAGGAGGACAACGCAGATTTCTGCTACTGCAGGATACAACAGTAGGACACTGCAAGGCACCTGAGTAGAACTGCCTGGTCAAATGCCCCACAGTGTCATGTTTTCTTACAGAAAATACAAACTAAAACTGCTAGTAAGTATTCAGATTTTGATTTTACTTCACAGCCAAACTAGGCTAACAGCAGGTTTTATTTGTTTGGTTTGGTTTGGTTTTTTTCCTCCATCCCAGACAAAAGCCTTTTGTTATTCCTTGAGGTAAAGTCCCTGTGGCTCTACTGAGAATCCTTCTCAAAGCAGGACTGCAAATAAGGAGCTACTTGCTGCATGTGCTTTCTCAGTCCTCAGAGCACCAAAATAATGGATGCCTTTTTAATTGATTCATAGTTTAAGTTCTAAAATAGCTGAATAATGTTAACAGCCCAATTTGGGGAGGCTCAGTTCACACTTTGAATTTAACATCGGTAAGATGCTTCATAAATGGATGGTTACTTTGACTCCCTTGTATCTTACCTGACCTTTTTAAGGTAAGAAGTAAAGTCATATGAATGCATTTAAAAATGGAAAAGTTTCTTTTTTATAACAATAATAACAGGGTGATTTTACAGTTTCTATAAAAGTCAAAATGTTCCTGATTATTCTTAAACCACTGTCAAGAAAGAAAGACTATGAATATGCATTATCATTGAACTCTAATGACAAATTAAACTTTTGCATTAGAGTATGCTAACAGGGCTGACCCCATCACATCTGGTGTCTCCAAATGCTCTGCCCCACGCACTGTGTGAATATGGGGTATGTTTAATAGGGCCAAGTCCTGAGGCATCCTCAACTCTTGTTCTCAGCTCAGATGCTGTTTGATCAGAGGAACTTTGTTTCTCAGCGTATGCCTCAGTTTGCTTTTGTTCAAAATAAGGACAACTGAGACTGAATTTTGTTGAGCATCCTGATATATTACTAGGAAGTAACTCTCAAAATTCAGTTTCAACTAAAGGATCATTTCAGTAAGAGAACAGTAATCTTTCTGATTATACATACAAACTGTTTAATTATTATACATGTGATCTGGGTCTTCTGGATCTCACTCATGACAGCCATTTGGGAGAGCAGAAGTAAACATACTGGTTTACTACATGACTGTTTAAATTTAAATTACCTTATGTAGCTGTTGTACATATTGGTAGGAATTGCACCAAGCTCTCTGAGTGTTGTTAGATTCACTGATTAATGTTTGACAGGATTGTGAAATCCACTGGTGCAATAGGACTGAAAAGCATTAAACATCACTGATCATACACAGTTGTGTATAATGATATTCATATACCAGAAACAGCCAACAAACTGCCATAAATACCTTTAGGTCCTTTTGGTCCAACTTTGCCTTGTTTGCCCACTTCTCCTCTATCTCCTTTTTCACCTTCCTCCCCTTCCAGAAAACAGAAAATAAAGCATCATGGTACATTTCTCTTAGTGCAGTAAATGTAACTATACATCCTCAGAAAGTAAAGTTTACAGCTTTTTTTTTCTTCTGATTTCTTTTTATTTCACATTGTAGTAGCCATGGGTTAAATTTCCAGAGAAGAGCTGATGAATCTGACCATCATTAGGAAAAGCTGAAAACTTTCCCTTTTGTAGAGGCTGTTCCAATATAAGGATTATACATCACCAACCTCTAGTCCTACCCTTTAAGCTCTGTGAGCCATAAAGCAGATAAATAAGCCAGTGTTTCTCTGTTATGAAACCTGTACACACATGGGAGAACTGCCAGGGGAGGCAATAGGAATTTATTAATTGTTCCTAGTGAATGTTCATAGTGAGTCTGGGTTTAAGGTATGCAGATGCTTTTGGAATGGGAGGAATGTAAATATGTTGAAATAGATCTTAACACAGACCTTAGAGCTTAGTATGGTAGAAGTCTCGCCTTCAGTTTTTGACAGGTGACATTTACATGTTGGTATAACAAATGTGTTTTGCAGTTCCAGTGCTTTACTTTAAAAGTGTCATACACAGAGTATCTTTAAGAGGTAAATTCAATGCATTCATTACAATAGTGCAGGGATTTCTCCAAATGAAATCAAGCCCCTGTTACACAGGCTCCTGTACGGTACTGTTTAAGTACTCTTACTATTGTAAGAGACAGTCTCTCATTGAGCAGCTTACAGTCTAAAGCAGCAAGGCAGCAATTAGAAGTGTTACCATCTTCCTCAGGTAGCATACAATTTCACTTGATGTTATGCAGGAAATGAGAGGCACAACTGGAGTTGATTTTCATATCTTCTACTTCTTAGTTTTGAGCCAAATCCCAAGAACATCTTTCCCCTTTGTTCTTTTTAGACAAATGCTTGGGTCGATAACAACCCCTGCACCTCCCTGCACCAAACCACCAGCACTGAATATGGGCAGCTTTCCCAAGCCTCCCCCTGCTCCCTGCCCTACTCTGTGATAAGCCTTGCCATGCAGTGGCAAATCTGTCTGGGTGTCAGTAAAAGAGAAGTGAGGACAGAAGAACAGCATTATGTGGCAAGACCAAAAACCTGTCTCACTGAGGATGGTGCCTCCAGCAAAAGGTGTTCAGGGTGCTGGGTGTGCTGAGGGTGACTGTTCCCCAGGCAGCCACTTCCAGCCTCTCAGGAGCAGTGGTTTCAGGGCTTGCCTGAGCCAAGCACTGCATCCAGACCACTCATGAACAGTGATTCTTTCCTGCCCAGATTAATCTCCTGCCTTTTAAACGCATTTGTAGTTTTGGCCCCTATAACATCCTGTGGCAAAGAGGCCAATGATTTATTTATGTATGGAAGGAGGAAGTAGCTTCCCATGGTTGCTTTCAGACCAATCATTTCATTGGGTCTCAGTCTTATTTCCTGAAAAATACTGCCCACTTGTACCTGATTTACCTTCTCCTACTTCTATAGCCACAGGTAGCATACTGTGAGCTGTTCTGTGGGATGATGAGAGATGAAGAGCTGTGCATATTAACTGCAGGATATAAAATGTAACATTAGCTGTTTGGCTACTTTCCATGTCAGTTATGGGGACTGGACTGAGTCTGGCCCTGTGTGCCAAAGCAAACTTCAGTGTTGGGACTCTTGTGGAGGGCAGACTTATCCTGTCAGTCAGGATGCCCTTTGAGAGTGGTTGCCAGTGGTCCAAGCTAAGGAAAATAATGGTCTGAACTTCTGAGTTAGAGGGAGGAAGCATTTGCTAAAGGGAGGGACAAGGAGGAAACATGATGTGGTGTGTGTGCTCCTCACTCAGTCACTCTGTTAAACACCAGATGCTACAGGACAAAGTAGGAAGGTTATAGGGTTACAAGCAGACAGCAATAAGAATTTTAAATGTATCTGTTTTCACTGGTTCTTAAAAAATACTGGAAAAGTCAGTATATATTTCTAAAAGCCAAGCTCCTTAAATATCCAGTTGAAGCTGTGGGTCTGGGCCTGAAGCTGAGGGAAGGATGTTTGCGGATACTGGGTTCTTGTCTAGACATCATCAAACAGCAGAGCCAAAGAAGGTGCAGTTTAATTTTTGCTGTTGACCTCAGCACTAACAACTTTACAACTGAGAAACCAAGACATTGTCCTTTCCACACCCATCTATGAAACCCTTGAGAAAACCGTAAAATTCACTTCTTGGTAGTTCAGAAATTCCAAAAAGATTCCCAGAGGCTGACAAAGGGCTTGTGAACTGAAATTCCAGGAGGAGGTTAAGAGCTGATCTGATCACAGTGTGCAAACCTGTACGGGGGGAGAAATGTGTGATAGTAGAAAGGAAGCAGGGTGTGAGTCAATGGCTGGAGAAGCTGGATGAGTCCTGACTAGAAATGCAGCACAGGGATATTTAACAAATGGACCATGCTCTCCAGTAGGAGGGGAGATGTAGGAGGCTTTCCATGCCCAATCTTTCCCTGTGCAATGAATTCCTTTATGTAAGAAATGCTGTAACTCTAAGCCTGGTATAGAAACTGCTGAGGGAGTTTCTTTGGCCTGTGTCACACAGGAGAACAAACCAGGTTCCTGCGGCCCTTCCAAACCTCACCACCTCTCTAAAGCCAGCCAGTTGGATTCCCCGTGGCTTGCAGGCTGCTCTGTTGGGTTAAAGGCTCTAGAGAGACTGTTGTTTTCTGCAGAAAGAAGATCTCTGTGTGAGAAAAATGCTTTTTTGTTTGTTTGTTGGGGTTTTTTTTTTGTAAGAAACATTGCTTAGACAGTTAATCTTAGAAATAGAGCCCAGGAAAGAAAGTCAATATACCAGCGGAGAAGCTGTGATTGCTTTCTGAAGGTGTTTTCTTCCAATCTCAAGTTTCGACATTCTGAGCCACTAAAAGCTGCAATGTTTTATTCTGAGAGGCTTTGGAGCATGTTTTTCACGCATGGGGCTGCTGGAGATGAAGCCAAGTTGCCCTTTATAGGAGATCAGACTGAGAGCTGACAGATGAAAGGGGTAAAAGGTTTGGGAAAGTTTGTTCTGGAGATCTGGAGGGATTAGGGAGTGTCTCACCTTTTATTGGTAACACCTTGCATAGACCACATTTTTGCTCAAGCCCTCTAAAAGCCTAAGGGACAGGGAAGTAAGATCTATCACCTGTCTCATCTTGGCATAAAGCAGCCTGCCACACTTTGCCTTGGTTTCCCTACCTATGAAAATGGAAAGAATAATAATTTGCCTCTCTTTAAGAGAGTGAAATCCTACTTTGCTCCCCATATTGCATCTGAGAATGGGTAGGCCATTACAAAGCAAGGGTAGACGCAAACAGTATGAATTAGTGGTACCGCCTCATTGTTAATTTAAGACTGGATTAAGCCCAGTGCTTGGTAGTACGATGTTATAATTATAAAGGCACTGTGTCTCCTTTTAGCTGTTGTGTGCGATGATCTCAGATATTTGGCAAGAAACGCGAACTCTTGGGTTATGCTTCCCCCATGTGGTCTCACTATGATTTGCAACGAAGTAGGAGCATTTGTGGGAGGCTGGTTGACTCTTGGGCAGGGGTTGCGTTTGCTTCATCTCTAATTTATAATAAGCATCTCCCTTTCCTCTGGGACTTCATGTGGACAGGCTTCCCACTGTATTAGCCACTTCTTTGTAATCTGCCAGTGTCCTGGTTTGAGCTAAATAGAACTAATTTTCTATTTAGTGATTTTACTTTTCAGCTCAGTCTCTTTTAAGTGACTGAACTTGCTGAAAACTGGCAGCATGTTTTCCCAAACAGCGCTGCTAGAAGATATGCTCAAGGTCAGTTGTCTCATCCTGGGTGCTGTGTCTGCGCCTACGGGGGGAGAAGCAGACCCAAAACTGACCAACGAGGTATTCCATCCCACATACGTCATACTCGGGATAAAACCGAGAGATCACGAGGGTCTTCGCTGGTTTTTTTTGCCTTTTTGCCTTTTCCACTGTTCCATCTCGATCCTTCCATCCGTCTCGATCCTGCAGAGGCCGAGGCCTGAGCAGAATCCTGCTCGTTCGTCTGCCGCTGATCCTGATTTGTGTGTCCTGCATCCTGCTCCCACTGCTGCTGAGTTTGGTCTGGGACTTTTCCAGTGCCCGGCTCTGCAGAGCCTCTGGTGACGTATTCGTCATTGGGGGGGAAGGGTGGGGGGAGGATTTTATATTGGTTTTGTATATATATTTGTACATATCTGTATATATTTCATTATTTTCATATTTACAATATTATTCTGTAGTATTAGTATTATTGTTTCATTAAATCTGTTAGTTTATTTTCCAACCCGTAAAGTCTCTCTCCCTTATTCTCTTTTCTCTTCCCTTCTGGGGAGGGGAGAGGGGTTAACAGAGAGCGTCTGTCCAGGATTTAGTGGCCGGGCCAGCCCTAAACCACGACAGCCAGAAAGAAAACCAAAATCTAAATCCTGCCAGTACTATGGACTGGGTTTTTCAATTTTGTATTAGTGTGCTTTGTGCAACAAGAGTTTTCTTATAGAAAAAAAGCCCTCTGATCGCTGACTTCATATGCTTGTAGTCTATACCTAGAGGTTCACCTCTCCTTTGTGCTGCTTTACACTTGGGTTAAGTTTTAACCTAATTAGCAGGTTGTCACCTTAAAACTGTGGTTGCAAAGATGTCAGATAGTGCACTGCACTGACATCTGAAGCATGTATGAAGCACATGGAGCTGGTAGCTGAAGCAGGACCACTGCTCAACCTTCTTAGTATTCCCTCAAGCTGATTGACTTCTTCTGTGTCACAGATTTAAAATACCAGAATATGAAAGTGAACACATGGAACAATAAATTACTAAACTCTTCCAGCATGGGACTGTGCAAGACAGAGGAAAGCAGAAGCCATAAGCAATAAATGAGTTTTGCAGCCATTAGGAAAATGTAATTGTAATTTAGAGGGAACAAAGCCACTCCTTCTCCTAAAAACAAGCTCAGGAAAATGCTGAAAGTCTAATGATCAGCAGGAT